AATTAGCAGACAAAACGAAGAGACAATTTTTAGGATGTCATGAAAAACAGATTGAATGTCTGAGATCACTTTGCTTTTGTACATCTAAAATATAAAAGAGCTGTCACTTATTCTATAAAACAACCAAAAGAGAACACTTTAAACTGTTTTGAAAAAAACAAAAACAAAAACAAAAAACAAAACAAAACAAGAAACATTAGGATTATGTTGCCTGTATTGTTTCTGTGTGGGTTTTCATCCACTAACATAACTAGTTCAATCAATCATCATGTGAAAACATRAGTTCAGCTTTTAGTCCATCTGTACATCTGGTTCTCACCCTGTGAGAGCTCAGAATGCCTCCAGGCCTTCATAAAAAGGAGGTAGATAAAGTTCATTTGACGGCTGGATGGATGGATGGATGGATGGATGGATGGATGGATGGTTGGATGATGGATGAATATGTGGCTGAATAAATGAGTAAATGAATGGACAGATTGATGGAAATTACATGACAAATGAATGAATGTATAGTTGAAAGAATCGTTGAATGGCTGATGACAGATGAATGTGTGGTTAAATAAACAAGTAAAAGGGTTAACAGAGGTTGAACGCATGATTGGATGGATGTTAACTAATGGATGGATGGATGGATGGATGGATAAATGGTTGGATAAATGCATAGTTAAATGAATGTGTAGAAAAATACGTGTTGTTCACAGTACAGCACCCAGCAGGCCTCAGCATAAGACATTGGGCTCAAAACAAAACACAGCAGCCCTGCTCTAAGCAGAAACTCTGCATCACACTAACAACTTCTTCTGAAAACACTTCTAACTTCTATGAACTGACCTTATAATGTACATCTGTTCCTGGTTACACTCCTGGAGGTGTTACCTTTAATGTCAGAAGTAGAACGTAACTCATTTTTAGTTTAGGCTAAAAGAAAGAACACATGATAAGACACACCAACTCTTGGTCTGTTTTAACTTAAAGGCTAAAATGATCAGAAATAATAAAATACAAAACTGCATCTAACATTCAATTAATCAGTTACAAAATGACCTTCAGATGGATGGATGGATGGATGAATGTATGGATGATGGATGGATGGATGGATGGATGGATGGATGGATGGATGGATATTTAAATGAATGGATGGATGGATGGATAATCAAATGAATAGATGGATGGATGGGTGGATGGATGGATGGTTAATTAAATGAATGGATGGATGATGGATGGATGGATGGATGGATAAATGAATGGATGATGGATGGATGGATGGATGGATGGATGGATGGATGGATGGATGGAAGGATGGATGGATGGATGGATGGATGGATAATTAAATGAATGGATGGATGAATGGATGGATGGATGGATAATGGATGGATGGATGGATGGATGGATGGATGGATAATTAAATGAATGGATGGATGATGGATGGATGGATGGATGGATAATTAAATGAATGGATGGATGAATGGATGGATGGATGGATAATGGATGGATGGATGGATGGATGGATGGATGGATAATTAAATGAATGGATGATGAATGGATGGATGGATGGATGGATGGATGGCTGAATGGATGGATGGATGGATAATGGATGGATGGATGGATGGATAATGGATGGATGGATGGATGGATAATGGATGGATGGATGGATGGATGGATAATGGATGGATGGATGGATGTATGG